CGCGGAATTCCTGCCGCGCAAGGGACCGCCGGGAGCTGGCTCCCACAAGGCCGTCTTGCGGCGCGCGCGACCACGTAAAGCCGATGATGCGATTACCTGCGCGGGCCCCCTGCCAGATCGAAGCGGCACCACTTTGGGTCGGCCGTCGACCGAGGCCACAAGGGCATCAGGCGGGGGGGGGGGGGGGGCCCGATAGCACCCGCGCCTTATGCCACGTGAAATTAAACACCCACTCACTGCTAACTGCGCAATAAATTCGCAGTAACGCCCGTTGCACAAATTGGGGGGGGGAATTAAACGCGTGGGGCAGCATATATCACCGGGCGATGTCAACGGGCCGGGCCAATGTGCCGGGTCGCTCTTCGTTAAGGGGCAGGGGGGGTTCAGAACTCGGTTTATATAACGGCTACTCCCCGTCGACCAGAGCGTGGCCTTTCCTGCATAAACAACGCGGGCCTGGATTATTCAACTCCTCGAGCCGACGAGTAAATTATCCGACGGTGCCAAGGCTGTGATTAAGAGGGTCGGTTTAAAGATCTCGATGGTAGCAAGAAAACCACCTCCCCACCACGGAGATAAGATCGTCAATCTGGAAGTACTTGTGCGGTCTAACTTAATTGTGTGCAACACCACCACGGGCCACCAATTAAACTTACCACAAATATGCTCCTAAAACAAATGTTGCAAACAGTTCCTGTTGGCGCGGTTTCTTGTTTTGAAAGCACACAAAAACAAACGTCTAATCTGGGGCGCGGGATAAGCATGAAAATGCAGGCACGTCATTTTACATTCAGCTTTCATAATAAGGCGATAATTGCGATGCGTGTAGCCGGAGCATGGCCTTGCCCGTCCCTCGTTCTTCACGAATCCCCGGGCAGAAGTAACCCCAAAGCTACTTTGGTCCAGAGGGCTGAAAAACGCATCGACACTCTTTTGGCCCCGACTACATCTGCTAAATTTAACCAGTGCGAGAATGCAGCCCTTTCGGTTGACGTCTTGCACCCAATTTGCACACTAGTGTTTCCTCTTCACAATGATGAAAGTTCAAGTCTCATCACGGTAAAGTGTGGACGATGGCGATGCTTTAGAATCGTATGATAGCGTTTGAGAAAGCCCGCCCAAGTGACCAGCACGTCTGAACGTTGCCACTCATCGATTATAACCTGCACCATCAGCGGCCTCTGCGTATGGAAACCATCCTCGTCGTTGCTCGTGTGAGCTGGATGCCAACCTGGAACAACAGTTGGCGCTTTCCCCGACCCCGCCCCGTTCGTTTCTGAGCGGACTAATCCTATCATTGTGAACACTGCTTCGTCTTCCGTCCACGGGGGAAAAGTTTTCAAACCGTGGGCTGTTGTAGAAATGCCAGTGCCTCCAAACTTATATTTTTATGTCCCCCCCCCACCCCTCACGTTAACTTGCAAGTGAGTGTAATCAACTTCACATCATTAGCCTGGCTCCCACAGCTAAGGGTTTTCCCCCAGCAGGTTGCCTCCACCTCAGAAAACACTCTTTTCTTTGTTCGACTTTGGGTAAAAAAAAAAAACTTCGTAAAAGCTCAACGGCAATTTGTTGCCTGCGCCCAGATTAAAATAATTAAAATAATTAATGGCCGTTATTAAAAAGTATGGAGAGGAGTAACAATTGGCGCTAGCTCGCCAGGATACAGTGTTCCAAGAAGCAGCAATACAACGGGAGCTGCTTTTTGGATCGAGAGGGGGGGGGGGGGGGGAAGTTCTCTAAAATTACCTGCAAACACTCAGCCATGAAAACATAGCCCCAAGCCAGGGTTACACAGGCAAGCCGCCTCCGTGCTGTGATTGTGTACCCAGCCATTCGCAAGCCTGCACACACCGCCGCGGAAGCCCTCTCGTCCTTGCAAATAGTCTGAAAAAACATTGCAAGAGAGAACTTCAAGCCGGCTGGAAAAATGCTGCAATAATTGCAACAAGTCTTGCGTACCTCCTGGAGTATTTGTAGCACAGATGATTTGCCGCGGAGGTGGTTTGTTTAATTGGAGATTAAGTGGAGGAGATGCTCGTGTACATTTCTGAATATGAACATAAACACCAACACTAATGTACAGAATTAGAATATTTATCGTGGAGGAATCCAATGATCTATAAAACTCTTTATCACAGATGTCCAGTCGGGGCGGGTAAGAACGTCACAACAACAAACAGTACAAAAACATGATAGTAGTGCCAAGTACAAAGGTAAACAAATCACCCAAACACAAATTTCACTAAACCATCTCCATCCTACCAGGCAAAGCCCACCGAGGTATGAACGGATTTTTCAGAAGCAAACTGGCCACAAATGATAGCTCAACAAAGTGGCCCATCATTGGGACATTTACAGCACCAAAATAATCTAAATACAATTTATTTTTCTAAATGTGGCGGGAAAAACCGGAGGACCTAGAGAAAAAAAATCCATGCGACCATGGGGAGAGAGAGAGAGACACGCAAACCCATAGGCACATTCTTGACCATCATTCTTTCAAGATTATTGTCAACTGAGATGATGTGAATGTTGGACACGGGTAGGAAAACATTCCGCGCACGAAAGTTGTTTGATTGTCAGCTATTTTCTATTGTCGTTCAAGAACAAAACTAATTTGGAGTTGGATGGCACTGTGCGGGTAGTCAACATCACTGTGCGGAGGTAGCCACGTGCAGGATAATGAGTACCTGTGGAAAGGTAGCAAAGTAAGCAGATTTATTACTCGAGTGTCGCCCTGTGCTTGGGTTTCTCTGGGTGTTCCGGTTTCCACCCTCAAGGCAAAAAGACATGCACGCATGCACACACACGACGAGACGTTGGTGAAAAACATGCCGAGCGGGACGGTCCAAAAAATATTATTAATGAAATTTCAGCGAGGCTTTTCTGATATAAATACACCCCACTATTAAGCAACATCCGTGTAAATAAATAAAGCTGATATACATGTTCCTAATAGGCTTAGCAGCTTACATTTCCCCTTGCTATAGTTAGTGCAAGATCGGAAGGTCCTGGGCATGTCGGGTTAATTATTACAACCATTACACGGAGCTACAAAAAGGCAGATGCAGCCCACCGCCTTGGCCTCTGCACGCCACAAACTCCCCCGAGGGAAAAACACGTCGACGACGATGGTGAACGAAAGAAAAAAAACCACACAAACCCGCCCCAACAACGCATTAATAAAAAAAATATTGCTTAACTGCAATTTTACAAACCGGGAGAACCCAACCACATGCCACCTGCGAATAAACACGCAGGGGACACGGACGGCGGCGTCGGCGGTGGCGGCGGTGCGGGGCGGATAAGAGGCGAGGTGGCGGCGCTTGAGGGGGGGGGAGAGGCGATGAGGGGGCAGAGGGCGCGCGTTGGGGGGTTGGAGGGGGGGCCCGACTTGACAGCTCTGCCGTTATTAAATTGCCCGCGCCGACCACCGAACAATTTCCACCGAAACTTAATCCGTCCGTGCCGAAGCCTTTGTGAAAATAAGCCCTTGTTCACTTATGGCGACTGTTCTTTTGCAAAGCTCCTAAATGAAAATGGCAAAGGGAGGTTTTTCATTTTTACAGACGATCATTTAATGCAGCAGCAGCAGCACTCGAGTATGAACTATATGTATTAACAACTTGAGACGACTATAACTCTGTCTATGCTCCCAAGTGGCTGCATCTTGTTCCAGGCTGCCCTCCCTCCCTCTGTCACCCAAGACACTGTCAAGTCCCTGCTTGTTATCCTTCCATTACATCTTTGCTCTTCCTCTGCTTCCTCTAATCTCCACTTTAAACCTCTGCGTATGATGTCGCCCCCCCCCCTCCACCACACCTCACTCCACACGGCCGCACTGCCTCTGTCTTGCTAACCCAGCATTGTCGGCGATAATCGGTGACCCCCCCCCCTCCACCACACCTCACCGCGCTCCACACGACCGCACTGCCTCTGTCTCGCTAACCCAGCATTGTCGGCGATAATCGGTGACCCCCCCCCCCCCGGGTCGTCTCCTGACGCGGTCACTTCTCTTGTCGTCTCTCGGCATCACTCCGGCGATCCATTGCAGCCTGAGAATTTCTACTTTTTTCACGCGCTGTCTGTCTCTCCCCCCCCCACTTCTTGACATCGTCCAGCTCTCTGCTCCCCATAACGTACCATCACTGGTCTGATGCGGTTGTGTGCGCATCTTTGCCTTGGTTTGCGGCTTCGAATTGGCATACTTTAATTCATGAAGGCCACACCTTAAAATTCCTCTGTTGAACGGCAGCTGAGTGAAAACCGCTGAAAGCATTTGAATTGCGATTTTTTTTTCTCATTGGAAAAACTCAATGAGTAAGATGCTCCACTGAATGTACAATAACATGCCAAGTGACTCACGGTCGATTTTGTCTAACATTGTCCATGCATAGTAGGCTCTGCGGACTGCTTTGTGTTTGTTGCATTACTTCTAACAAAGGTACTGGCACTTGAACAAATTTCCAATATTATTATTTCTCTGAGTCATCCGCGAGCACCGCCCTTGTGGTACGCAGCACAACGAGGCCTGGACGAGCTGGGTTTTATTTGGAGCCACGCGATGAATCAACCCCCCCTGGTCCCCCCACCATCGCCTGCCTAATCGGAATCGCGGCATTAAAAATAAAAGCGCGAATGTGCCCGCGTGAGACCACAAGGAGCCACACCCTACGCCGGGAGCACATGCCACGGTCCTTCCCCCGGCCCCGGTATTATTGCTGTGAGTCACTTTGCCACGTGATCGCGCCCCTGCTCGCAACGCCCGATTATATAGACGGGTGAGTCACGGGGACCGGAATGCAGCGGGGGTGGGGGGGGGATGGACAAGCCCGGCCATTCATTCCATCAACTTGCTGGAGGCGACCGTGGACTTGCCGGTGGCTGGGGCGCGTCAGGGAAGGGAAAGCCTCGGTACGGATTACCCGCCGAGGAGGAGCCCGGCGGTGACTCACTGCGAGGCGCACGGGTCCGGGTTGCCTGCACGGGTCCGGGTGTGCCTGGACGGGCCCCTTTCACGTCCGGTGAGAAGAGGCAGCAACGCGCCTCCTCGATCGGCTTCCCGACAACCATTTTGTAGAGGTTGCTCCGTTGCTTCGAAAGCCGCGTTGTGGTTACCAGGACTGCCCCTACTCAGCCACGGATTTTAATTAATGTTCCCATTCACAAACGCTGCGTTTCTTTCCGCTAAACAGGCGGCATCATAGTTTTTATTACAATGAAACTATTAACATCAGTCGTTTTTTTTATTCCACTCATGTTACAGTATTACTTCATGCAACATTCTTAACTTTCATGGCATTGCTTTAAACAAGGTCGACTCGCTTGGAAAAACAAACTTGGCATCTTTGCATTTTGAAAATAAATATATAATGTCTGTTAACCATTCAACAATAATTGCACTTCATCGCACAGTGTATACAAAGATACACATTACATCTGTCGTTGACTTTCTGCCAAAATATATTTGTTTAAAGGGGGAGAGGACCGAATTGGCTTTTCTGGGTGGTCAGTACCACGCCCAGTCACCTGTTTCCCCAGCTGCTGATGTGTGATACACACCGCAGAAAGTACATGTTCAAGGCCGAGTCGACCTAGGGGAGGCCCAGGAGTGGTCTGGATATTTGTCTCCGATGTTGGCTCGGGCAGCCAGGTTCGCAGTGCAGTGTGCCATCCCGCACCCCCCATAGGAGCGCACACATGTATCACACATGTATCACACATGTATCACACATGACAACTTAATTTGCAATTTACAACATTCCACCCACCAAAGATCAAACGTAGGGGATGCATTTACATTTTTTTAAATTACACTGCACCAAAATAATTTGGAAGATGGACATCGGACGTTGGCACGCAGATTGTACAAATTATAACGACTTATTTACCCCAAGACTAATTTTTCAGGAGGGTCCTATGTTGGGATGTTTTTCCAACACCGTGTTTATTGTATGCTTTAAGCTACAGAAAAATAAACTATAGGACCCTGGAGGAAACACATGCTGAACAGGGGAAGATCATACAAACCTCCACACACAAACTCCACGCGAAAAGGTTCCCGGGCCAGGAATCAAACTCAGGTCGATCTTGCTGTGAGGCGCAAGTGATACACCACCGTAAGAGCTTATCACAAGAATCCACAAGTCGGTGACGGGAAGTCAAGCAGACGTACTGTGCTTGAGAGAGGAGGGGCCCCCCCAGGGCTATCGGGGGGCACCAAGACCCTCGTCGCCTCGCCACCCGCTCAGGACCCGTCTCACGGTGGCGGCCCGGACGCTGGCGGGCTCCCCCGGTTGCGTGCGGGCACGCTCCACCCAGGCTGCGGCAGCTGCCAGCGTGTCCGCCAGCTCGCACGGGCAGCGCATCTGGAGGGGCGTCGACACGGCCCATGATGTAACGCGACTCCATCACAGTTACGCAAGCGAGGGCAACTTCAAATCGTTGGTCAAAGCGGTGGGGATTCCACATTCCTACAGCAGGGGCGAGTTTCTCTGCAGAGCAATCGCTGTTTTATTATTCATAAAGTGGTACTTGTTTTAACGACCCCTAACGGATGATGGGCTGAGTCAACAGTCCCTCCAACAAATATTTCAACTCGCAACCTTCCGATTGCTAAAGCCGAGCCGTGTTGCCGCGTGTAATCCCAATCGAGGAGTTTGCAGGTCGTAATTCAGCATTCGGATGTTTTGGCCAATGACATTGTACGTTCTCTATTAGCAATGGGAGGAAACCAGAGCACCCGGAGGAAGCCCACGGTGAGCAGGGGCGAGAGCAGTCAAACTCCCACGTCGAACCCAAGGCGCGGCGGGTCTTGCCACAGTGCCAACGTGCCGCCCATATTAATATCCTGCTGTCATTAAAAAAAGGCTGCGCATGGTAAACCCCTAATTTAGCTGGAAATTTCCCTTTGTTGAGCACAACCGTGCAAATCCTTAACACAACAAACATACGAGTTGGAACCTTAATAGGGTAAATAAGGTATTAAGATATCATGTCATTTAATAGGGCTCGAATTACACCAGAAACCAGACACGCAGTTGTTCAGCTGTGAAATCTTCGGGGCTGGCTCACAGAACGTTTTGTACTCGTACACCATTTTCACTCTTCAAAGCCGTTACCTAATTATTGCTTTTTTACTTTCTGTAAATGATAAGCAAATGCAGGAGGAGGGGAATGGTGGCGCAATGGTTAGCACACTGTGCTCCGCATCTTCTCATTTGACTTCAATTCCCGGCCGTGGATAATATCAGTGGCGATTGATATCAGAAGCTGGTCTTGGTGCGCCCCCCCCGCCGCACCCGATACGAACCCACCGGTAAAGGTGTGGTGAAGTGCGGGAACACAACCCCAATGGCAGGCGCAGCACGGGGAACCGCTCGATTCAGCAGCGGATTAACGAAGTAGCCCGGATCGTTCAACTCGTGAAGATGCACGCAGCGAGCAGTGCGTGGCGAAAGCGCGACAGAAGAAACGCTCAGCGCCCCACGCGACCCGGAAACCCACACTTGGAATTAAACAACTTATTACAGGACGGTACTTTATTTTCCCAAAAGCACGAGTGTGTAAAGCATCGATATGTTTTTTTTTTATTCTATGCCGAGTACATAAATAACAGTGCTTGGAATGTTTTGGAGCACCATAGTTTTCAAATCCTTGATCACGAGTCAAAGGCTCAGCCCTGCAATTGCTTGCTCACTCCACCGCTGGTGTGTTTTGGCCTACTCTTTCGCATCGCCCATACATCCTGGAAGAGGTGGGAGTATCGACACGTCACCTTTTGCGCTACCTCTTGTTTACACACTGCCATATACAAAATTTCTACTTTTGTTTTCACTAAACGCAAACTGCAGTTGAAAAAACATTCTGAACATCACCGAAACTCTTCCCGCGACATTCAGGTCGATCCAAACAAAAGCTTCTGGACACCATTAAAGATGGTGCATCTCCGATGAAAGCTAACACTCAGAAATGTGAGATTTCAGCAAAAAATCTCACTTGGAATGTGAGGCACTGGCAGCAACATAAGGCTCTGTGGCCAATGCAGTCAGCTCCAATTCCTTCCATTCATTGGGTACCTCCTGCAGTCCAAACTCACTTGGTAGGAACCCATCAGTTTGTGTGAAGGGACATGATAGCAAACTGTCAAAAAAAACCCCTATTTTCTTTTACGAGCAGTGAGTTGTTACGTCAGCTGGGACACACACACACACGCGCGGTTCTTACTTGCTTCAAAACCTCTTCCGAAATCCCTTGGCCACTTTCCGCGAAGATGAGAAAATATACGGCGAGTTGATTGGCGACGTCTGTCACACGGGTGTGAACAGACGACAGGATGGCCGTGACGTCACTGGGATGCAGCCCGTCCACATCAAGAAGGTCCCGAAGACAAACGCACGTCCCCTTCAGAGACGCCTGTCAAAAGAGCACGCGGGCGTACGGCAACACGCTTTGAATTAATACATTCTGTTACGGGGGGGGCGGGAGAGAATGGAAATATCACATTACAGGGCTTGAAGGGAATATTGCACAAGGGCTCCGACATTTCACATCACTGTTCATTTAGGTCGGCCTTTATTAGCCGGAAACTATCTGTGCTAGGCAGCCTTCGGCACATGATACAATAACACAAGTAGTAAGGAAATCATTGACCTGATATTCAGCCAAAATGCAATTACATAAATGTTATCTAAATAAATAACAGACGTTTAAAAAAAAAAACTTTTCTGGACTGGACTTCAATAATATTTTGTGCGCAGTTCCAGCTGTTTCCCACAGTAACTGAACACAGGCCTGTAACGTGATATACTCCAAGGGAAAAAAAAAACCTTGAGGCCAAAGACTGCTTAGCACGTTTGCATTCAAAAGGACACTGAATCTACCCAGGGGGCCTGTTTTAAAAGTACACGGGCGCGTTTCTGATTTCTCGAAACAGACGCCGATAGGTAGCACACATCCATAGCCGCGTTTTCCCCAAGCCAAGAGGCCGAATTTAAACTCTTTTTCAGATGCACGCTGTAATCTTTATTTGAAATAAACACGTTGAGACAAACGAAAGATCACTGCTTCTTTGGCAAAGGCGGAGACGTGGGTGATGCATCGAGACTTCAGTTGGCCTTGGGAACACAAACGCAAAACTTCTGCGTGGGCCAGAGCACTGGGAAAGGCTGCCCTCCCAGGCCTGCAGTCTACATTTCTTGAAGGCAGGTTAGCAGCTGCGGCCGGTGATAATGTGATACATCCGCTGAAAGCACAACACACGGCTGGAGGATTCCGTTAGCACCAGCTGCTGCGTGCAAAGTGTATGACTGCCCGAAGCTAGTCTCTTCTTTCCATTTAAATAAACAGCTTAATTATTTATGACAAGTGTGTTCCATGAATTTTTTTTCTTTCTTCTAACGAGTGTCAAATTCTGTCTAAATAAAATCCGAGAAAAAAAAAATACAACTCCTTCCGTCGGCGATGGCTCCCGCTGAACACATCCTCGCGGCGTCACGGCCATTTCAAAGTAGATGCTCGTGGCGACCTCTCGCTCGGCGGCGACCCACGCGGCGTCAATGCTGCTCCATAACCACAACAAGCCTCGCCCGGTGGAACCGCCTCCCGTCGCGGTGACGTGGCCCAGCGGCGACGCCGCGCTCGCCGCTCGTTGCAGACCTTTACGGTTCTAGTCACAGCAGCCGCCACCATTCTGACTGCGGGCGTAGCAACTGCGGCGACGTGCGCCGTCCGCTCCACGGCGGACACGTTCAAGATGCCCTGACGTCATTTGGCAAGAGTGGGCCAATGTGTGCCAGCGACTGGGGGGTAAGCAGCTTGGAGGTTGTGATGAGTGAGACACGTGTGCAAGGTGGAGGAGAGCAGGTTACCGAGTGGCACCTGACGGTCTGTGACCATGTGACCAACGGGAAGAGACACCGAAAGCCAGACGGTGGTGGTGGTGATGATGGCGATGAGACTGCAACAGTGGTCCTTGCAAATTGAGTGTCGAATGTGCTACATTCTTAAAACACAGCCGAATACTCATTTGAGACTCATACATAGCAATCATCGCCCTCTACTGGCAAACTTACACCCCAGGTCACTCTTGCAAATGAGACTCATCGTGGTCGATTGAGTTCTCACCTGGTTAAACAAAATATAAGCTAATATCTTCTGCGCCCTTTGGCTAAACATTTCCCCCCATTGAGAGCGATCATTTAAACATAAATTTTTCATTTCTTGAGCCATAGAGAGAACACACCATCTGCTATATACGGTCACAACTACACTTTCCAATGTTTGCCAGTAAAGCTTCTTAGCCGCAATGGAGCCACTTAACAAATCACCGACGGCTACACGGCTGGAAACGTGTCAACCGCGGCTCAACACAACAACCACGGATGTCACTAAGCACATCTATGCTGCCCAACGCTTCGCTGCTGGTGCAGAAAAACATCCGTCGACTTGAATGTGTTTAAACCGCATTCGAATGGGAGTCGGCAGGTCACATGTCGAACGGGCGGAAGTGGGGCGACTGTTGACGACACTGCCCTGTGCGACGGTGGTAAAACATTGACCAAAGAGAGCATCCCTGGGTCTGTCAGCAGCTACGTACAGAGGAGGACCTCACCAGGGCTACAGACCGGGAAGCATCATCAAGCGTCCAATGTTGGATGAGCATATGGCTGTGGTGGCAGGACATGGAGACTATTTGTCTGGGGTACAAAGTGGAACCTGCCGTACAGAGCGAGGAGCAAACGTCCGTGCCAGCGGTGTACCTGGGCGTCCAATCGCTGCTGCTCAGCGAGCCAGGGCCAGTGGTAGAATCCGAGGAAGCTCAAGAGGGTGTCCAATTCGCCAGGGCTGGCCGCGAGGGTCTCCTGCAGCGCCACGTCGGCCCAGTCGCCACACTGCACCAACAGCGTCCACAGCTCGTGCCGCTCGGCCCTGTGACGAACGACGACGGTGACACGATGGTCGCTCCCGCTGGGGATGGCCGTTTCCCTCCCTTGCGGCTATGTTGAGTTACTTTCACGGAAAAAAACGACGAATATAATAGAGCAATGGAAATCATTCGGCAGCACGTCGCGACGCTGCATTTAAACTACGCCGAATGGGTAACAGAAATGATCGTGAGAAGTGCCAGCAGCTATGGGAGGCCTTCATCAAGCAGTGGATGACCACAACTGATAATTATCATGATGACAAAGGAAATAAAGTTGCCTTCACGCAACGCTTCTTGCATTGAGGGGTCAAGAGCGGCACGCTTCCAAAGTTAATAATTACTCCGAAATGTTTTAAACATCCCTTCATTACAAGTTATACAAAATTATAATTAGCATCGTTGTGGAGAATATACGTAACAACATAAATAAGCAAACAATAATCCTTCTTGACATTATCTCTCCATCCACAGAGAAAAAAATATCTGTTACACATTCCATCAACCACATCGTCTTCTGGGAGTGCACAAATTTAGCAACATCGGTTCAACACAACCAAACTCTGCATACATTTTGACATCCAGTGTCTCATCATCAACATCATCAGAAACAGACAGGTTACGAAAGCGTCGTAGGGCCGGGTCGGCGTGCCGTGTTTAAACCGCGAGCACCTCTGCAACGAGTAGCCCAACGTGCTAAATGTAAATGTTTGTAATCTAAACAAAAGTTGGTGGGTTAACATTTTTGCGTTTATAAAAGGAAGCAATACACTTTTCAATGTTTATTGCATAGTTGGATGCTAAGGTGTATGCATTAATGCCAGAGCGAAAGTATAGTACGTACAATGCATACACAGTAAGCAATCAAACTAAGCTATACCAATTGCACAATGCTGAGTATTTATCTCGTGCACCTTCATATTTAGTTTTTGATAATTTTTAGAAAATATGCAAGATTTTCCCGTTTAAACCAGGTTTTAACAAACCAGTAACAGAAGCCGAATCTCTTGAAAATGTTTTGCATCGATTGAACCGTCTCCAGTTACAATGGTTTTCGGTTAACCCGCACCGCACCGAAAACCAGACAAATCGATTGCATGGTTGACAGTTACTTCGGTTAAAAGTCCACTCATCCAAACCCAGCCAAACAAGAAATTCAAACCGAGTTGTCTTTGCCAGTGTCAGGGTCACGTCACACACTCAGCGTGCCGATGGGTACTGGCGTTTTAATATGCACCCTGGACTTGTTTGGAGACCAGTGGTTTTCCGTCGGTTAAAGAATGCGAGTAAAATTGGCCTACAGGGGGTCGTTATGGACCAACCCAACTTAAACCGAAAATTACCCACAAAAATTACCCACATAAAACCCATGATTCACACCTCGGACTTGCATCGCGGCGTTTACAGAAAACACTTCATCCTCTTTGAAAGTTCATGAGCAAGATTATGGTGGCTGCTGCTCATGCATAGCTGAACAGGCAAAATACTGACATCCAAACAGGACAACTGCTTTTGGCTAGTCATGTTATAATACTTGGGCAGGCGACGTGTCCCTCTAATGATAGCTACAAGCACCGTAACACCAATTACATTCCATCCACCACATGGCCTTCTGGGAATGCAACAGTTCAGCAGCAATGGTTCAACACAAGCAAAACTCTAGACCGGTTTCCACCCTCAGTGTCTGATCAGCAGCAATCATCATCATCATCAGAAACGTGTGACCCCAGGCCTCCATTTATTTGCAAGTCTCCCCTAGAATCCCACTAAATAATGGAGGGAGCATACTCAGCCAGAGAACTTTGTGAACTGCTGGTCTGGCTGATTATATTTTCTCCCACACACTGCATATTTCACAGTTCATCAGCCTGAGCAGGATGTATTTTTGTGCCGTGACTCACGTTTGGGAGGCCGTGAGGTTCCTAAGAATGTTCAGCGTTCCACTCGTGATCCTGAGCAGATGGGGGTGCCAGGATTTGAGAGGTAAATCTGCAAGAAAATGGAACACATCCAAAAATATAAGAGTTTTTTTTTTTAAACAACTGAGACTAATCCAACTGACATATGCAACTGAGACTAATCCAAGACAAAACGATCACAAGTTCGTCAATCTTCAGAAATTAGATTTCCCATAAAATACCTGGTCTCACAAACAAAACGGGACAAAAGCTGGAAAACAGTGCGCAAAGAAATATTGAGTGATGCGTGCTCCGGATTGCATCGAAAGACAGAAATGAAACCCAACGTAATTCATACCAACTGCGAAGGAAAGAAAGTAAGTAGAGGCTTGGGCGTTGGACGCATCGCAAAGAAGTGTTCGATGGCTGAACAACGACAACAAGGTGACAGGATGGCAGCCAGAGGAGGGAATGACATCAGCCCACGTGCACAAGATAAATTGTGGCATCACAAGACCAGTGATGATTATGATGGTGATGAAGTCTGTGCCATTATATGTTTTACAATGCTCCGATAATAATCATGATCCTTCATTATTATTGTCGTACAGTGCTCATTTACCCAGGAAAGCATCACAAATAAGTCTCAAGATATTTTCAGGAGGGTCCTGCCAAGTTTTCACAGTACAAGGTCGACGTTGCGGCCGTGTAATCCAAAGCAAGTCATTGGCAGTGTCGTTTTCCGGCATGGGTATGTTTGGGCCAATACGGTCAGCGCATCTGGAGAGGCGTCGACACGACGCATTACATAAGATGACCCGATCCCAGTTATGAAAGCGAGGGCAACTGAAAATCATTGGTCAAAGTGGTGGGATTCCACATTCCTACGGCAGGGGCGAGTTTCTCTCCAGAGCAACCGCTGTTTTGTTCTTCATGAAGTGGTACTTATTTGAACGACCCTGAATGGATGATGGGTTGAGTCAAGAGTCCCTCCAACCAATATTTGAACTCGCAACCTTCCGATTGCTAAAGCCAGCTTGCCAGATCGGCAAGGTGTGTTGCTGCGTGTAATCCCAATTGAGGAGTTTGCAGATCGTTATTCAACATTCGGATGTTTTTGGTCAATGACCAGTTAAATTGTACGTTCTCTTTTAGCTCTGGGAGGACACCGGGGGGGTGGGAGAATAGAGACTCCACACACACTCACATCCTGCATAACAGGGGGAGAGAACACACAAACTTAACCAAGTCGCCCGAGTCAGGAATCAAACGCAGGTCCTTCTTGCTGTTATCACTGCGTCACACAACCGAGCAGACCTCCTTAAATGCCATTTCAGAGGTACAGTGAAGCCAGTGAAATTGCATTCACTCATTACATCGAGTGGTGCATGTTCAGACAGCTCCTTTGCTTAATGCGAGTTCCTGAGATCTGACCCGGGAATCGAAGGCAAAAATGCAGTCCAACAACCCAAGAATTATAATCCTCTTTGCTCTGTAAACCATCCAGCTACCTTTGCTGATAACCAAGCACTTAACCTTTTACAGTTCAGTCAGATTTAAATTGGTCAAGTGCTGCCAGTTTTAGACTCGGGAATATCTGCGTTCAGGTACATATTTCATACGTGTTTGATAACATTAAAATCAGAAAGATATTCATCGATTAGAAGAAATTTCCACAAACTGATTTGTTTAAATTGCGGACATTTCTTTTTCAAGTTCAGATTATAGATATTATGTAATATGACTATATCCTCATAAAAGCTAGTTTTTCTTGTACTGTATTGTGTAATCTGTATGGTAAAAAAGATTAAGTTTATTACACCGATACTGTATTGATAAGTGGCTGCTGCACACAACGCTATATGAACCGTTGTGTATTTTAAACGAGAACAGTTTCCACTATGGAACAAACAAGCCTCGAGTTGGCAGACCTCAAGGGAAGGAATGTCTGGCCTGGTGCTTCAGAAGCCATGGAAAAAAATTGGGTCAATTTCACAAAATAAAAAAATACTGTAAAAATTTAATGAAAATAAAAACAAGAGGTCTTCAAAAAATCATGCACGGGGCGAAGCTGCGCAGAATGCAGACCGCAAACATGCCAGGCCGCACAGTAGGGATCACACGGAGCCTCTAGACACTGACATTTTAAAATCGGCAGTGAAGCTCCGAGAATGGAAAAAAAAGAGAAATTATTTCAAGCAGACGCTGCGATTATCAACGTCGAGCAAAAGGGAGCCGCCGCGGTCTGCGATTATGGCGCCAATCACGGCCAGAGCCCTTGGGCCCGGGCAGACCGTCTAATGACATCCCTTGCATCCGCCAAACCCATGGCAAGTTGTGCAGGAAGGGCCCGTGTGCACGCGGGTGGTGGGTGGGTGGGGGGACTTCTCAGCGGTGCCGAGGCCGGGTCATTACGTTGGTCGTGGAGCGGCGGGCGCTTTGTCTGAGCCGAGGTGTCAGGTTGCATGGCGACATGGCCGCTGTGAGCAACGTCGTCGTCGTCGGTGTTTGCTGTGAAACGCCAGCTCCTCGTTTTGGTGAATAATGAAAACCGCCACTCACACTCGACACCGCCGCCGTGCTCTCAAGGCTCACTCCGAATTCTCATGCTTATTGAAGCAGGATTATTTTAGGTAGATATTAAAACAAAACTGGAATAATAGAGCACAACAAAAACGACACGTAATTTTTTAAGCACAAATGCGCGCGTGTTTTTTTACAAGCGCATGCAGGTTAAAAACTGGCGGGGTGCTCTCGGCGGTAAAGTGTCTTTTAAAGTTGAGCAGCGGCCTCGGCAGTCTGACACAATCAATCAAGGCCGGTAATTGAGATGCTGAACCTGGGACCAGTGCTCCCAACAAAAAACGTTTAATGTGCTTAACCATGGCAGTCCAGGAACACTGCTGGGCGCAACAAAGCCTATCGACAGCACCATTTCCCAAACGCGGCGGTGCGAGGCTGCGCCACACAAAGGGAGCTTTCTCCCCGACAACGCGCCGGCCCCGGTGGCGGCGGCGGCGGCACCACCGGCACCCTGGACCCCGCGTTATAAACGCTCTTGCACCGAGGCCCCACCCACCCGGCGGGACAAACAGAAACGACTTGGGGCTGCCACCCTTCGGTCCTCCACGGCCCGCCCGCCCGCCCGCCCACCCCCTGCACGGTAGAAGTCAGATGCGATGGAAGGGGTGGCAAGGATTAAGCAAACAACAAGGCATTTGTGTGTGGGTCGGGTTGATGACTAAGACGCCCTTTGATTCCATTTCCCTGCCATTGCCAGCTGCCCGCCACTGCTATTTTGGGGCCGTCCCGACGTAATTTGTTGCAGATGGGTTTCCTTCCTTTTTCCTTTCCAGGCTCACGAGAGAGCGCGCGTGTGTGTCAGTGTGCGTGTGTTTGTGTGAGAGCGTGCGTGCGTGTCAGTGAGTGCGAGTGTAAATGTGCAAGCGAGCGTGTCTGCTCACTCGCTCCACACGGTACGTGTCTCACTGTTTTTCTTCCATCCTCTTTTATTTAACAAAGTTTGCCGGGATGACTGGGAGAGGGAATTCAAGTGAAAATATAATAACGCAATAAACCCAATCCTCACATTTTCCAGGCATGAAGGATGCTTATTTTGGCAGCAGGCTTTGGGACCAGAGCTTTCACAAATTGTAATCAGGCCTGCCAAACTTATTTAGTGAGCAGCTGGGTGGAATAAAAAACCTAACACAATAAGGGGTTTATTTTTCAAGACACAACATGCACTCATTGATAACCAATTGGCTAAGCCAACTAACTCATGAACTTGAACAAAATAGGGCAGTTTTAATATAAAACGGAGTTCATTATTAATTACAATTTTAACACACTGGCAACATCGATAGCATGACTGACTATACATATACAGTACACCACATTCAACATTTAGTTCAGTTGCGGAAATATAAACAAATGTTGATTCTGCATCTTGATAGACAGCCTTTAATTTCTTCACGATTCCACTGTGGCCACAAGGGAGGAGACTGTAACATCTCAACCGCAATGTACTGTTTGAGCTCTACATTAAAACCACAGACACTCGCAATTAGGGCCAAGGTGTGCTTGCTTGTGAGAGGGCTGTTTTTCCCTCGTCTGGAATAAATTATCCACCTAGACTGCATTTCTCCTGGACGTGGGATTTGATCAATAGACGGCAGTGTTTGTGTTCAAAACTTCAGTCATATAAGCACGCTTCTGTACCCCTCCGTGTTTTTCCTACAAAACTTATATCCTGTACATTCCAAAATAAAATACCATATTTAATATCCTGTACGTTCGGTTTCATTACGCTGTGCTATTCAAATAGCTAGACCTGGGCAAAGCGGCTTGGAACGACAACATTTCTTGCATTGTTGTTATTGTTTGACCTCGGACAAGGCGGTTAACTCGCCGCGTGGGTTCTAACAAGTTAATTGAAAAATGATTGCTGGCCAAGCTCAACTGAATAAATGAAAGCGGATTTGTCGTGTAAATTATTCGGATTGCGGGCCAATGTATGTATGGAAGGGAAAGATTACAGTAATACGGCCCCTGTAACGGATAAAATAAAATGCTATGCTCCGTTAATTAATCTTCCGCTAAGTACACACAGAGAAGCTTGAGACGGGTGTCACGAAAATGAGCCTCATTGCGAGTGCTGACAGGAGGGCACTTGGGTTGGTGGGCAGTTACAGTGGTGCGAGCCGTTACAGTTTCTTATCAGCCAGACACGCAAAACTCTAATCGCCATCGCCACACTCCACTGCTGCTAAATCTGGAGCCCATGTTTAATCTTCAAAGGGCAGTTTGCTAAAATTAAGCATGCCTTCCAGCCCAGTATAAATTACCCCAAGAGAAATTATAATGCATCCATACCAACACCAAAATAAATATATAGTTTCGCAAAATCTGCTGCAAAGTCATATATCGTATATATACTGTACATCTAATGTTAATCAACTACTAATGATTTACAGCCAATTGTCAGTTCCCACGTAGTGTCAGTTATGGGGATTGTTTAACCAATTATATAAAATGTAATTTGACACGAATAACTGTAATGTAATTGTAAGAGGGAGTGACTTTGTGGCA